ATGGAGTCCTTTAGAATGGCAGCTGATCAGAGAAGAAAACGTATGAACAGTGCCAATGTTATTGGTTTTAGTTCTCGGGAGCATTACAGAGCCAAAAGGAAAAAGATTTCTTCACCAGATGCTGCTTTGCGTTCGGGTGATCACATAAGTCTTGAATGGGACCGTAACCGAAGCAAAGTAGTCTCTAAGAGGGAACAAGTTGGTTTAAGTTTTAGGCATCTTCGCCAATTTGTTGATTTTGTTCCTTCAAAGCGGAATGTATTGGCACAAGTATGCCCCGTCCCGCGTGAAACTTTCCAGTTGGAAAATCTGTCAGAGGTGCTTTCTAATGAGGTAATATAGTGCTATACTTGGAGTTGCATTAGCTTACACCTTTGAGATGTTAAGTTCTCACCGTTTTCTGCACCGGTTTTTTTTCTTAGGTTTGGAGGTCTTGTCTATCTGAAAGCGAAAGAAATTATCTGCGACAATTTCTCCCCGAGGGAGTTGATGTGGAGGAAGTTATACAAGCATTGCTTGATGGGGAGAATTTTCACTTTGGAAATCCTGTTCTTGATTGGTTAGTGACTCTGGACTTTTTGGTTTCGATTCCTGAATGAACGCTGTGATTGGTTAAACCAAAATAGAGTGTGTTAGCTTGAAATGGCGTTGAGCTCCATGATCTGCCTTAAAATCCTTGTTATAACCCGTACAGTTAGTGATGTTTTAATTTATGCTCAGGAAATTCGGCACCATTTGAATGTGAGTTGTGGTTTCAGGGGAACAGCTGTCTGCTCCGGCAGAGTTCATCCAGATCAAATTGAGTCTCGGGAGGAATGTCGGAGGGGTGGTAAAAGGAGATATTATTCGGATTTAGAGAAATACCATTACGAGTATGTGCAGTTTTCTATATTCAGATAATAGAAGTACTTGGAATGTCTATTTACATGATTGTAATTCCTCTTTTCTTGTTTCTGGTAGTGTTATAGATTATTTGCAGATATTGAAGGAGAAATGGGAAAGTTGCAAAGATCCAGAGAAGGATGCTGTTAAGAGGATGTGGGGGTCAGTGCTTTATACTCTTTTTTTTCTTTGAAGGAAGAACTGTTGAATTGTAATGTAGTTTATATTTAAGCAGATAAATTAAAAAATTCTGTAGTTTGGAGAAGAACATATAGTAAAGCAATAATTGTTCTTATAGAAGATGGATTTATGTTGAGCTTGAGATAGTGGTACCTATGTCTTGATCTTATTCCACTATATGTAACTAGTTATTCTGATTCACCTATTTTCTGTTCCTTACATTTTGTTTTTCTACAGAAGATCAAGAAGGGGCAGTGCACATGTAAATGGTAGCGGCCAGGATCTAACCGCTGCCTCGGAGTCTAGTTCCTGGAATGCAGATGATAGACCATGCAGTAGTGATAATAAGATTTCTTCGGTTGTAATGACTGAAGAGGTTCGGAGAAGGTGCTGAACATACTCCTTCACATGTTTATGCAATCGCTATTAGTATTCTTTTCCTTATTCCACACCTGCATACTAATTCTTCCGATCCATTTTAGGCCTAAGAGCTCTGCTGTACGGAAAGAAAAGTCTCAAAGTCCCTTGATTGCTTTAGATAATGTTGTAAATGTGGGTGTGAAAGAGAAAATAAAAGACAAGCTACCGAAACATAGCATTCAGCAAACTGATGGTGCTAAATACATGTCCTACCTTAAGGTTAGTTATTCTTCTGCATTTCTTACTTTATTTAGTTCATTCACTTGCTATCACATGGATCCATAATTAACGACAAACATCAAGTAACAGTTAAATTGGCTGTCCAAAATTTGTTAGCTTGAGAATTATTAGAATGTACTGATTTCCATGATACAGCTGCATGAATGGTATTCGGAAGTAGGACCTTAACTTGGAGCTTTTTGGAAAACAAACGATTGTTATCCTATGTGACCTTTGTTGAGTTGAATGTTCAGTTGCCATTCATGTAACGGATATGCTTAGTGATCAAGCATTTTACTGCATTTTATATATTCAGATAAGCAAGAAGCAGCATCAGATTGTCACAAGCATGAAGCAGTCTGGTAAAAGCATTCAGTCAAGAGCACTTAATCGAATCTTGGGTAACATCAACAATTTGGATGTTCAACCATACGGAGTGTTTGTGGAAGAAGAACAGAAGAAACTGAACGCTCACTGGTCAGTGCTCTGGTGAAAAGAAGCAGCTTTCCTCCCTCAGGCCTTTAATTCTGTTTTTTTTAAACTTCAATTGTTTCATGCAGGCTGCAACTGGTTAAAGATCTTCCTGCAGCATATGCAATCTGGAAAAAGCTACAGTTACAGAAACGAGATATAATCAACTCTTTGGAAAGAGAACTCAAGGACAAACTCAATCCATGGGTGGAGGTTTGTTTCTCCATAAACATTTATAATGTGTTGTCTCTTCTTTCCCATGTTGTTAACGACTTTCTTGGGAACAGGATAAACAACAACTGCACCCTGCAGAAAATCCTCTGCAGAAGGACGCTGTTATATTAGACCTGAGGAATAACGATCGAGAAAGTTTGAATCCAAGTCAGAGTGGTGATTTAGCACCGGATGTTGCAGATTCTGGAAGTTTTGGTCAAGTTTCTGCCAAGAATCAATCCCTTTCAAAGGATTCTCCGTCTTATGGTGACCAAATCACAGATTCAGGTCGCAGCTTGCAAGTTGGTACATACCCCTCACAGGTCTCGTCGCCTGATTGTGACAATAGTATCAGTCTGGAGCATATAGAAGATAAACAATATTCTTCTCCCAGCCGGTGTCAGGGCCTTGATCAAAAGGATGTTGAAGCAAGTGAATATTCCAGCTCCTTACAAGGACAGTCTCTCCCACAGGCTTCATTTCCTAGTGATCCCCACGCTTCAGATCTCGAAGATACAAATCCTGTAGGCAAGCACTCTGTACAAGAACTAGAGAATGCTTCATCAGACGAGAGGATTCCTTGTATTACTTCAGTCCATGGAGAAGAGTCACAGTTTTGTTCTGGTGGAGATGTGTGGCAGCCAGTGGGAGGAATTAGGCAGTCCTACATTGGCCGCCAAGCTTACACCCCCAGTGGTGGATTGTCAATCATACACCATCCTGAAGGTGATGCAGTAGGGAAAAACTGTTTCATAGACCTAGAATCAGACATGCCTGAAGAAGTTGATAGGAGGAAGATGTTGCAGCAGAAAGCAAACAACAGTTTTGGTTCTTTCCCTAACACCAATCAAAATGAACTACTCCAGTCTTTGTTTAAAGGCCAAGGCGTGGCATCTTTCCCCACCGAGCAGCTTCACTCTCTTAAACTTCCGCTTAACGAGGAGCATAAACAAATTATGGGCATTGGTTTTCAGCAGCAAGGAAGCAACAATCTGATGGACGGCAGTCAATTTTCTGGTCAGTTCCAGAGTCAGATGATTGCACCGCAAGCACTGTCCCAGGACCAACATAGACAGGTTGACATTTATGGCCAAGGAAGCATGTCAAACAATATTTACTGCGATGGACGTGGATTCTTGACGCAGCGGCCCGACTGGAACACCAGTGTTGCTCAGATTGGAGTCACCACACAGCCCTTGTTGAACACTGTCCCTTTGTTAACTCAGAACTGGCAGTTTAAGAACATGTGGGCAAACACGAACGGTGTTGGCTGTCCAACCCAAGGCAGTCAAACCTTGGCTGAGAGAGATCAGAGCCTTCTCAGAGTTGCTACTAACGCGGAGCAACTCATACATAGGGGAAGTAGTTCAGATCAAAGCTTATTCTCTGTTCTCTCCCAGTGCAGTCAATTGCGCCGACCCGGAACTGCTTTCGAGGCAGAAGGTTCGAGTAACCAAGTGGTTGCATCTGGTAACTATGGAATGCTGATGGGGGGAGCCACAACTCAGGTAGGAAGCAATTTGGCTCAGCCTGCGAACCCGCTTGCTTACTTGAGCGGTAGCAACCCGGCAACATCTTTGATGCCAGACGACGTAGTGTGGATGAACCAGACCCGCCAGAACTCTGGTCTCCATGACCCACTAGGCAAGCTGTATCCAAGGTCATGGAATCCATAACCATGTTTATGAAGTTTTGCATTGCAGAAGACGCATCTGGTCATCGTTAAGATATACAAAACCCAACATGGGTTTCTTAGTTTTCATTTGTTTATCTTTGCCTGTACATAGAAAGATACAGAGGAACTTTTGTTATGTACATATTTAGGTTTGAGACATGGACTAGGAAAAAAGTGAGGATACTCGAGCTACCTTTTTTTTGGTTTTTAACATTTTGTCTTCGCACCTTCTCTCCGAAGTTAGTGATTGTTTAATTCCTTTTCGCATAAAAATGTTTGGACGATAGCAATGCCTTTTCGGAGAGCATCATTAAGGGTGAAAGGCTTAGAGCATCATTAAAATTTTAATACTAATTTAATCTTTGAGACTCAATAAGTTTTATCTAATTTGTTCAATGGTGATATTCAATGGAGTTCTT